GGAGGAGGGAAGTGCTCGCTGGGCAGGGGCCCCGAGCCACGGTTTCTTCCCGCTGGGTTACGGCGGTCGGGGTCGGGGTGGTGGTGGCACAGATGAGGGCGAATGTCGTCTGCTGTGATAAACAAGGAGGAAAGGATCCACATCCATGTAGCTGGTCGCTGTTTGCAGCGGGGGCCAGCTTTTTCCCCATGTATTCCTCTCCCTGGAATCCCGTTTGCTGATTTTATTACAGGTCTTGCCGCCGAGATGGGTCCTGAGGAAGGCAGTGATTTTATAGCAGGAGGGATGGGTACCGAGGGATGTGGTGCTTTTGTAGAAGAGGAGCAGAAGTACGTCCTGCGTACAGAAAATGGCTTGGGAAAAGGCAGGGAGGCGTTGGGAAGTAGGGAGAACCAGGTGAAGGAGGTGGACTTTCGGGGAACGATGAATAGCGAAGGGTGAAGAGCTCTGGAGATGCGAGGAACGGCTCAAGTATCCCGAGAGGGAGGGTGCTGGCCTGGGGTTGCCCGAGGGAGCTGCCCCAAGGCCTGGGAGGTGGGGCTGATGTAATAGCCGTCATGCCAGCCAAGCAGGAAGATACGAGGGAGCTGCTTTGAAATCGATGATGGAAGGGGCCAGAGAGACATCCCCAAATCCCTGTAGTCAGGATAGGCAGAGACACAGAAGGGTTTGGACGTGCGCAGCGAGTGCCATAACCCTAAAAAATAATGCTTTAAATAATTGATACTAATGCTGGGCATTTAAATCTGATTTCCTTTTACTGTTCATTGTTTATTGATGCTGTTTATTCCCTTTGCTGCCCCAACAGTAAAAAGCATTCGGTGATTTCACTTTTGTTTCCAATGCCTTTCACTCCTTGGCTGTCAGGTACTCTCATGATGTCATGATGTTTGGGTTGCATATGCCGCAGGGAAGTGTTTAACTCCAAACAAACTCCATTAACTGACTTCTCCAAATGTCATGGAAACGCTTCTCTCACCAACCAGCTTTGCAGCATTTTTCCTTAATTCCTGGTTTGGGTTGGTTGTTTTTTTTTCCCCTAAATTCTATGAATACTTTTGGAAACCCCTCAAGGCTTTCAGCTGCAGCGCTTTTATTTTTGAAGGAAACAGTCTATTTGGACAAGACTTCAGTTTTTGAAGAGTAATGGATCAGTTACTAGAATGCTGCTTGTCATGAAGAGCGTTTGGAATGATTGTGAAACAGAACGTGAGAGGGAAATGAGGTTACGAAGGAAACGTTATCAGATGGTTTTACTGGGAGCTCTTCACATCGCTGCGACTGGAGTTGAGGGGAACTTTCTCCGAGTGTGCAGGCAGAAGCCAGCAGCTCTGTCGTTCCACCTGAGGTTTTTACCTGCAATGGGACAACGGGCAGCATTGCTTTGGTGCAGAGTTGTGGACTGGACTTTTGGAAGGCTGTTTGAATTCTCAGCATTAAGAAGTTGCTGCAAAATGAGTGTTTTGTGAAAGCAAAGAGAAGATACAGCAATAAAACCTCCTCTCAGCCACTGAATATTGTTGTTTCAGAGAGTGAGGCTTGGAAGATACTCATTTATGCTTCCATGAGCTCAGTTGCATGTGTGGTACATCGGTGAGATCATGTTTGGCAGCTGATGTCACATAGTTCGTAGTCAGGATAAATAGAATTACACCTTTAAAGTTGAGTTACCTTCGTCCTGAAAAGGTTCTTTGAGCAACCATGTGAAGTGCAGTTAAACTGTTAGTAGAACTCATGAAGTGATCCTTCTCGAGTGCTATTTGAATTGAATGTCTTCACTTGTCTCTTTTTCAGGAGACCTCATGGAAGGAGAGCTTTATTCAGCTCTCAAGGAAGAAGAGGCTTCTGAATCGGTTTCCAGTACAAACTTCAGTGGTGAAATGCACTTCTATGAGCTTGTAGAAGACACAAAAGATGGGATCTGGCTGGTTCAGGTAGGGAAACGTGATCGTTTGTTTCTATGTATTTATCACGTCCCAAATGTGTTTCAAAGGAGGATTTATGAGAGTAGTTAACTAGTAGTAAACGTGTGTAACAAAGAGATGGTGACAAAGATAAACTACATTAGGGAGATCATAAGGAATAAATGTGCTTGAAAAAAGCCAAGGCAGGCTGGAAAGTGACAGGCACTCCTCCACAGGCAGGGAGAAAAAAACCCTGTTACTCTGTGGATTGCTTTATGAAAACCAGGTACTTTAGAACCAAAAAACAAGCAAAGCAGCACACGCTTAAGCACACAGCCTCTGCAAGTACTTGGCCCTGGTACTGTAAGAGCTTGTGTAAGTGTGAAGTAAGTGCAAGAAGTACAGATGCTCTCAGCTGGCACAGGAGAGGTGCTTCTGGTGTTGCTCTTTCCTTTGGTTGCGTTACATGCTCACACCCAGTGGGTTTAAGTTGCTGTTTGTCTCAGGGGCTTAGAGCACTTCTAAAAACCTCTGTTGCCTCTTCACAGTGGCAGGATCTCAGTGTGCTGCCTCCCAGGCGAGCAGGCTGCTTCCACAACATATTCCAGTAGCTTGAAGTTAACCTTCCCCTAAAACTCGTGTGCTCACTGAGTTCTGAGCGTGCTTCCCCAGCGCTGCATGGAAGGAAAAGAACGTTTGGAAAAGGAAGACTTTTGTGTATAGGCTGAGACAGTTGGGGCTGTTCAGCTGGAGAAGAGAAGCTGCGTGGAGACCTCAGAGCAGCTTCCAGTGTCTGAAGGGGGATACAAGGATGCTGGAGAGGGACCTTTATCAGGGGCTGTGGAGGTAGGACAAGGGGTGATGGGTTCAGACTGAACCAGGGGCAGTTCAGGTTGGATATAAGGAAGAAGTTCTTTACTATGAGGGTGCTGAGGCACTGGAACAGGCTGCCCAGAGAAGTGGTGAATGCTCCATCCCTGGCAGTGTTCAAGGCCAGGTTGGACAGAGCCTTGGGTGACATGGTCTAGTGTGAGGTGTCCCTGCCCATGGCAGGGGGGTTGGAACTGGATGATTTTAAGGTCCTTTCGAACCCAAACCACTCTGTGATTCTATGAAATAGGATTTTGAAACTATTTATTATCACTCTTGAGAACATAAGTACTCCAGACCAAACTGTAAAAAAGCTTTTCTGTATTAACTTCTCTGTTGATAAAGAGGTTTTTTAAGGTGTAAGTTCCCTGCTGACAGCCACATCAGGCAATGCGAATTCTCCCCCAGACAACTCATTGTTCAGGTGAAAGCTCTCCTGCCTGGTTCGTCCGGTCGCATTCACTTCATGTTTTCTATTTCAATACATTATCAAGATTTAGTGACTTCCTGCTGTCACCACATCAGATCTCACCCTAAAATAGACCATGAGAGGACAGATTACCTTCAGAGCCGAAATGGCATTTGTATTGTGGGAAAGATGTATTTGGTTGTTATTGAATCTTAAGTTTCAGGTTTAAATCCTAGAGAAGGGCATTCTTCAAGCAGAGAGAGCGTGTTGAAAGCAAGTTTACACATCTCCAAGATAGTTGACATATATGAGCATGAATATGCTATGAACAACTTTCCCTCCCCATGCAGCTCCGAAGAGTAAAATCTGGCAGTTCTCTGTTGTCTGCTGCTTGCAGAGTTTTAATCCTCATATATTTGCAGCTGGTTTCTTAATAGCAGATCACATAGGCTGTGGCTTGATGTCTCTGGGGTGATGGATGTTGTCATCATTCTGGGAATATTTCACAGCTATTCAGTCAGTCACAATAGCCGTGGACAACAAAAATTAGTGGAATTTACTGAGTAATTTACTTGCTGAGCACTATTTGTCTGTTTCTTCACAATAAAACCCACTAGACATGCAATTTCTCTTTTTCATGCTTGCTTTTGGAGTTTTCATCACTCTTGAGGTTCCCCGCTGTAACTCCTGCCTGGGTGACTCCTGCGCTGGTTCTCTGTGTCCTTTCACAGGTTTCTCATGTTCTTTCTCTTAGTCCTCATTGCTGCAGAGCTGGGTTTTATCACCACTTCCCTGTTCTCACTCTTGGTCACCCTCCCTTGCCTGTTCTCCTTTACTATTAGGCATCCTTTGGAAACTTTACAGCCAATTAATCAGCTCAGTGCTTAGGCAGGGATAGCACAGAGCGAGGTTTGGTGACCGCAGACAAGGTCGGAGCATTGCCCTGCTCTGCTGCTGGGAAGCAGGAAGGATCCCCAGATCCTTTCCAGGATCCTGACCCTGAATCTCTATTCCACGGGGGCTGCAGTGCAGGGAGGGGAACAGCTCTGGCTCAGCTTGCACAGTGACTGTTGGTGCAGTTGGCTTTGAACGCTTCGTGATGATGTATGGGAGGATGGGGACTCGGCAGATGATTTTTGTTTCCTCATGCATGTAAATGGCATTTCTGAGGTGGCATGGGCTGGCAATGTGATAGCCATGGCTGGCTGCAGGGAATCAAGGGACAAAGAGGGAACAGTTGGTATGTTTGACACAAATTCAGATGTGAATTCAGCATTCAGAGCCAGCCAGATGAATTCCTTGGAGAAAGTAAAAGAAAGGAACAACGTTTCCTTGCCTTTGTTTCTTTATTCTCTGGAAAGCCACATGCA